CAAATCGACTGGCTGACCTACTCGAAGACCTGACAGGGCAGCTTTGTGACTCATGCGGGGAGATCCGCCGTAGAGTTCTAGGAAGTCAATCTTCCCAGTGCTGGTGACCTGCCAGTGACACTCTTGATGTGGAATCGTTAGGTCTGTCGACTGCAGGGAAGCATCGAAGGTGACCATGCAACTTGCGTGGTCAGAACCTTCTGACGTCAGAGTTTCCTCATCAGGCGCGAGAGGAATCTCCACATCAGATGTTATGTCATAGTTTTTCCTCAGTTTTGAGATATTGACACGGACGATGCGTGTTCCAAGATCCACACCTACCATGGATCCTCCGAGTTCGGAGATCACCTTACCTTTTAGCCAAGATCCATGTTTGGACCCAGTGGATCCAATCTTAGACTTATCTTCTGACCAGTAGAAAACCTTATCTCCCAAAGAGAAAGGTCCTTGGGTCATTGACAGTCTGGCTGCAAGATCTCTACGCAGATCATCAGATTGGCGTGCCTCTTGGTAAGCCCTGTTGGCAAGCTCCTTAATGGCTCTCGCAGTGACTTCCGTATCAGTTGGATTACCTGTCAACTGATTGGGATCAGCGTTCTCTGGTGTTATAACATCTCGAGGACGCCTTCCAAAGGCCATTTCTAAAGGAGTAACTCCTCCGTAGGTAATCGAAGAGTTTCTTGCCAAACATGCTTGGCGAACGAGGTTGCCATACTTCATGGTGATTCCGTTATACTGCGGGTCACCATCCTTCAGGATCTGAAGTATGAGCTTAATCTGATGCTTCAGCAATCTTACAGCAGCTTCGGCCCTGTTGGGCCATGGTGTTCCAGGTCCTGTTGCCACAGGCTTGATATTCTGCCGATTGTAATAAGCCTCCATTTTTGGAGTCATGAATGCTTGATCTCCAACTACAACCTTTGGGTTGATCTGAAATTTCTCAAAGTAGTCATTCATAATCGACATTGTAGTATGTTCTTCTTTATCCTGGACTACTTCGGCAGTCAACAAGTTTGTTGCTCCATCATAGAGAATAAGAAATACTAAGCGACTATCCTTGCCGGGAATTGGAAGCTCACCGTGATCTACGAAGGTGAGATCACCGAAAGTCTCTGATCTTAAACCAGAAATCTTCGCTCTCGAAGGAGCTCTCACATGTTCCTGGCAGGCTGAACACTTTTTGACCAGTTGGTCATATAGCTCGTAGATCTCCTTTGGGATCTGTAAGGCTTTTGTGCGTCGCTTGAACTGATCCGTACTCATATGACGGTGCTTAAGGTGAAGCTTATAGAGTTCTACAGGGTCCTTAAGCTTCTCATGAATCCTGCGAAGAGCAATGGGAAGAGATGGCGATGGTTCTGCGACAATCTCTTCACCTGTAGGTGAGTCTGTACCAGGAGCCGGGTATTCTCTTGACTCAAGTGGTCTTACCTCCGTCCCGTCATCAGCTCCTGGGACCTTAGACTTCTCTTCAACAGGAGATTTAACCGCATATTTGCGGGATTTCTTCAGAAGGTTTTTAAGACCCTTTGGAGTCTTTATCTTCGCAGGTGGAACCTCAAGTCTTTCTTCTTCTGGAGGTTCATGTGGTGCAGAGGATTCTGCAGGTTTGTCCCTAGAACCTGATGATGGTTCCGATGGTCCGGAAGGCTCAGGAACATCACCAGATGATTCTGGTGGATCAAGTTTCTTGGCAGATGATTCTGCCGGATCAGATGGAAGAGGCTTCTTTTTGCCTGAAATCCTCTTCGGTGGTGGATCAGCTGCTCCCTCAGGTGCTTTGTCACAACCCTTAAGGTACGTGTGAGCCTTTTTCTGTCCGGCACAGGCTGGACAGCGACCTTCCGGTATCCTAACATAAGGCTTATTGGATCCTAGAGCAGTCTCCGTCGCACTGAACGACGTACCTGACTTAGGGGAGGTACTTCCTGGTGGAAGTAAAGCCTAGAAGGTCCAATACCAAATGGTTATTGGTACTAATCGGAAGAGGGGTTTTATACAAACCGAAAGCTTCACACGTTGCTAGGTCAGCTGTTGGACTACACTCGAGGGTCATTCTTAGATTTCTCATCTGTTCAATGGAGAACAAAATGGGAACTCTCCCCTGATCCAGAACTTCTATGGTTGTATCTCTTCTTGGAGTTGTGTTAAACCATAGAGTTACACGCTCCTTGATAAGAGCTGTTTCACTATCTGCGAAAGAGAACTTCGTGTTCGAAGGTGAAAAAGTGAAATCAATCATGCCTGGGGCATGTTGCTTCACGGCCTTGATAAGCCTGTTCACCGCATAGCGGGAACCCATAGCCCTAGTACAACCAGAGTCAAGTATGACAAAGGTAGGGCTCTTATCAAGATTGATCCGCTCTGTGAGAGCAGATAGGACGGTGTGCTGCAACGGAAACACTGCTGTTGCAGTCTCCACACCTTGCCCCGCGGATGGTTCAAAGACCTGGGGCACGTAACTCACTGATGAGTTGTACACGGGTTCTTGGTGCGCGCTCGGATCTGTGCCTCTACCTGATGATCCTGCTTGATTTCTTCTCTTCTTTTTCCGTGTCTTTCTTCGTGAGGCTTGTGATGCATAGTATGTATAAGACGTTTGATCGTCATAAGCGGCATAATTCCAACTGGAGTCAGTATAATAACTGTCCTCATACCATGAATCCCAGCTCGGTGCGGTGGAACTTTCATAGGCCTGTGGAGATCCAGTTTGGTCTCCTTGTAAGGAGGCAGACTTAGCTGTATCCTTACCTTTGCCTTTTGATTTTGTACCCTTGAAGGAGCTTCCTTTATCTCCTTTGTCCTTTCCTTTTCCTTTGCCTTTTCCACCTTTTCCTTTTTCCTTTCCTTTACCTTTACCGAAATAGCTGGAATCAGTTGGATCATGTTCTGCCTGGTTGGCTCTCCCTTTTCCGCGGTATGACCTAAAACGGCCACGTCCTTTTCGCTTGCCACCCTTTGCTCTTCCCGGTGATCCGGGACGCATTCTTGGTCTTCTTCCCTTTTTGAATCTCCTTGCAACGAAGGCCTCATGGTCGTCAACTGTCCAGAAGACAGCTTCTTCATCCTCGGCGGCAAGAAAGCCTTCCTCAAGGGTGTCTTCGTCTTGGAGCCAGAATCCATCGACTCCGTCGTATTCACCCTGATCGAGGATGAGGAAGTTTCGACCTCCGCGTTTGCGGCGTTGATCTCTCCTTCCATGGCGGTCCTTCTTGTGAGAAGTGTGCCGAATATTGGGATCCTGCAGACCAGTTCTGGTCGTTGAGAACTGATCGAACATGGTCTGCCGTACTATAGGGTACGTGTAGGTCTCAATTCGGTAACCTTGGTTGGTCAATGCTGTTACCAACCTCTCACGTTGCATCTCATTTAGGTCGGACTGCACTAGGAAGAGGAGAGCTAGGAGATTATCATTTAGAGGAAACGCTCTTCGATGATTATCAAGGCGTTCCTTGTTCCATGTTTCGAAGAAACGTGCGGCGTATGTGTCTCTCTCGGTTGCATCCTGTAGGCGCATGAAGGTTTGATCTGCCTGCACAGCCTGCATGAAATCCGGATGGGCATCTTCCAGAGCTATCTCTGGTAAGAGATCCATCCATGAGTTTCTCACGCGCTGTAGCACGATCTCAAACTTAGCAATCCAAGTCACAAAGTCTTGGTTGCCCTTCCATGCCTTGAATAGGCCGAGGAAACGCCACAGGAAAACGTACTGTTCTCCTTTCACGAAAAATGGACGCATCTTCTTCTTGAAGTAATCTACTCCATCTGGGGCTGCAAGCCTTTCTCGGTTGAGTGATTCTTTTTGTACTGCGGCCAATCCGGAGAGCCTCGTCTTGAGAGACGGACCTCTTTTGGTGTCATCCAGCGTTGTTATGTCGCACCAGTCGTCAATCAACTGTTCATACTCAAACCACGAAGTGGTGCCATCATAGGCAGGCGCGATCTTGGGCGTTATGCCTAATGATGCAAGCATGCGGTCAGATGTTGCATATGACTGTGCGACATAAGTAGCTGGACCTTGGGAGGTCTCTTCGTTCTCATATCCCCCGGAGGATTGGGAACTGCCGTCGGCTTCGCTATGCGAGCTCGACATTGTGCTGCCTCTTATCCGCTTGGTTAAGCGTTCGGCGAGGCCGACCGCTGTAGCGGACTTTGTGAGGCGGGCGGCCCTTTCCGGGCTCCGCTACCAGAAAACTGTGCCGATACACCCCCAAGGGATACTCCTTGTAAGGAGGTGTATGACCAGTTTATTCCCTAAGGATCAAAGGGCAGCGCCCTGCACACGGACAGTAGTTGTTTTGTCTTGCTACGCAAGGAGAGCTTGTCTTGTCTCAATATGGTAAAACCACTGTGAGCCAATGGGCAGCGGAATGTATATGTATGAGCATGCAGCCATTGCTGTAGGTATCTGTTAGAGCTACCCCTTTAGAGGTTTATGGTTTCACCCCCCCCCCTCCCTCCCCCCCCCGCCGCTCCCCCCCCCGCCGCTCCCCCCCACTCCCCGCTCCGCTCTCCCCCGCTCCCCCGCTCCCCCGCTCCCCTTGCGTTGCGTTGCGTTGCGTTGCGTGGCGTGGCGTGGCGTGGCCGTGGCCGTGCCGTGGCCGTGGCCGTGGCCGTGGCCGTGGCGGTGGCGGTGGCGGTGGCGGTGGCGGTTTCGTTTCGTTTCACTCGCAGCTAGGGAGTCCAAGCCTTGCGTACAGTTTGTGTCAGGACGACTGTTTAGTCGCCCCGGCCGTCATATGACAGCACATACTCTGTGGTATGCACGGGAACCAGACAAAGCTATCACCGCCCCGTAGAGCCTGTAAGCATGATAGCTGGAGAATGTACAGTAAAGTAAAGCGCGCTTGTAAGTGCCACGGTGCAGAGCAGAAAAAGAAGAAGCACCTGTCGGCAGGTTACAGAGAGTACTGAAGAGAAGGATAAGTGACGTGTGTCACACACACACGTGTGGACAGACCGTCACCGCAATCTCCCCATCAGCACTGCACTGCAGGAAGTCACCCAGGGATGAGGCAATGGAAGCCGGCCCATTCAAGTAATGCGCGATCCGCCGGCGTCAGAGCTTGCAAGCCCTTAGCGTGATGCGCGACAATCAAGATGCGGTCACCGCAAGACCATGGAAACGTGGCATGCGCCAGCCGTGGGTCCAGCATCAAGTACGGAAGCTGCACCGAACGCAGGCATCCGGCGCCTGAGCGCCCATCCAAGTGAACAGATCCTTGTTCATCGGCGACCCAAACCTGTCCCCCCCGCCAACGGCTGCAGGGCAACAGGAGGTTAGATGTGCCGACTTCATTCGCCAGATCACGATGTTTGTTACGCATAACATTCATCAGAAGTGTGCAGCTGCTGTAATGGTGACGCGGGTTGGCACCATTGATTAAGGCTGTCATCAAGCGAGTCATCCACGGATAATCACGCGTGTTATTCTGAATACCCTGCGTGCCACCCGCCGCATACGCTCCAACTGAAAAAGAGCGCTGGCATCGCCCCGTGGCGCCATCCGAAGTGCTCAGACGACGACGCTTGGCAGAAGTTTGTCCTGGCAGTACAAGACAGAGATCAAACAGCTGGCGCATGGAGCAGCTATCCGCTTGACAGATGTCGTAGGCAATCCGCTCCAGCGCTGAAGCATCTGCCCCTGGATCAGGTGGGCAGTCCCCGAAGTCGAAGCACAGTTCATGCGAGACCTCGTCATCGTCTATATTCCAAACGTCGCACCAACTGCCCGGAGCAGATGTAGAGTGCGCAGAGTGGGAAGTGGAGGACGAGGCAGGCATCGCAGAAGGGTCTGAGGAGATGGAATCGCCGTGAGGTTCCACCAGCGCAGTGTCCGGCGTAAGCGGTCGTGCCACCGATGTGCCAGCATCATCCTCAACCTCGCTGTCCTCCCCAAACTCCGGATGAGCTACCCCCAAAATGGAGGGGAGCTCAAGTTCCCAGATGTCCTGAGGTACATGTGCCGGCCTTTGTGGTAGCATCAGGCTAGAGTGGTTTTTTTTTTGTTATCCTCTTAGCCAAAGAAAAGATGCCAAGGGCCCGGTGCCAAGGGCCCGGTACCAGGTGCCAGTCACCACAGCAGCACCACGAACCTCCTGCAGTTGTCCCGATCACTGAAGAAAGCGTCCAGGAATCGACCAATGGGCAGCACTATACCAGCAGAAGCAAGTGGGGTTCAATGAAGGCCGACTGGACTCAGCAGCAGTGGGCTGCGCAGAGTGAGGTCAGACAGCAGCCAGGAGGTGTAGGTCAGCAGGCCAACGGTGGCTGAGCGCAGAGTTGTGCTCAGAGTTGTGACTTCGGAGTGATAAGAGTTCAAGCAGCATATGTCACTCAGAGATGTCACCAAGGCAATGCGGGGGTTAGGGAATGGGAATGGAGGCGCCAAGGGGTTAGGGTCATACTAGGATAGTCTACACAGACGTGACGGGGCCACCTTACAACTTGCTCACCATCGAACAAGAAGTGTATGCCTGCAGGAGCCCAGAGTACGCGCGTCTTCCAAGGTGGCCGCACAGCTGAACGTCCTGCTCCTAGACAACCTTATCCAGCCAGGCTCAGGCAGTACGTGATTGTCTTAAGCGCGATTCGCACAGTTTTGCACACGCACTCGATCAGGTGGTGTTGGGCATCAGCGCCGTCCTCCCCTAGTACACTGAATTTGCAGTGTAACACGTATCCGGCACCTAATGCTATCGATCCCCGACCCCCGGTATGCGCTCGCGGCACTCGGATGCCAGCGGTGTGAGTACACTACAGAAGGTGTCACCATTATGCCGCAGGCCCATTGATGCATTGCATTAGTGAGTTAATGGGTTTATGGGTGCGTGCGCTGCGGGAGCGCAACACGAAAGTCCGAAAGGCACACAGAACATCAGGTATGGATCCCAGGAGGACCGTGTGGCTGCTAGGTTGGCAGTGCAATCGCGGACACCTGTATGCACTTTACATACCCGTACGGCAGTATGGCATGTCAGCATCCCGTGTCGCCACACACTCCGTGCTGTGATCGGTCAAACCCTGCCGGTCTGCACTCACATCGAGCAGCTGCCGATGCGAGCCAGGATGGGCGTCCCCCACCTGAGAGTCAGGCAAAATTAAGGCAAAAAGGGTGGTACCATAAGGCGCGCGCGTCGGTGCTAGCGACGCAGCGGTTGCGATGACAGGAAAGTGCAGGTTTTTTTTTCGGCTTCGGGGATTTAGCGCATCGCGGGCGGCGATGCTGCTTCGGTGTGGATGTAAAATCGAGGCGCGTACCTACAGTAGCTGCCCCGAGTGGGCGCCGTCGCGCCCAGGATGACCTTAGGCAACCAAGGTGGGCGGAGGCTGACAGCCAGATGTCAGCCGCACTTCATCATTGAGCGCTGCAGGCTCCAGGACTGCCCAGAAGAGATAAGCCTGATCGGACCTGAATTCGAACCCACTACCGGAGCAGGCTTGAGGGACAGGCATAGCCCCGTCATCGCAAAACCAAGCCTGAACATCAGCCATGATTAGACAGGTATAATGCCCAGAGGTGAGAGCAGCACCGGCATGATAGATCACAGCGCAAATGCGATATCGAAGGTGCGTGATGCCGAGTGCATCGTCTGAAAAGGCAGGCACACTGATGAAGTGGGACCATGCGACACTACAATGATTCTTGACAGTGGCTCCGGTCGGGGTTTGCCTGTACCGCGCGATGCGGAGAGTCAGCACCTGTGGCGGGTATCGCAGTGCATGCATGCTGTGTTGGGTACTCCAAGCTCCGATGAGGGCCTGTAGGTCTGCATTGGCACGGGCAGGGGGGTCAAGGCCTATGGTGCAGTCACAGGATCCCGTGTCAACAACCCCAAAAACCCCAGCCTCAAGAATCCTAGCTTCCCAAACCCCGAAGAGTAGATTGGAGCGGAACCGCTCGGCCAGATGGGCTAAGAGCTCTGCGCAGTCGTGCTGATCCGAGGGATTCGTCCATCTCGTCAGTAGAGACCTCCAACCGCGAAGATCAAAGGGGCAGGTGGGCGCATTACGCAGGGAGAGAGAGCGCACGGCCGCAACACCTAACCTAGAGGTGGCCTGTTCCCACCCATGGAAGCCCACGAAGGCCCAACAAAGCCACCTGAAGAGTGCATTCATGTAGCACAGGTTCCCTGGGTTGGTCCAGACAGCGTGCCTCAGCCACACCATTCTGCAAGCTTCTGGATCCCATTCGATCGCTTGTAGCTTTCCTTGCGAAAGGAGAGACCGAGCATGTTCAGCGGCGCCAGGCCAGCGAGGCGCTCCAGGTTGGTGTAAAGCTGATGAGCCCGCGAGGATCGGAACTGAATGTCCACCTTGAAGGTTACCACCCCCTCCATGGATTCCGCCAGCTGCCGCGTTGCAGCGAACCGGCTGACCGTCTCCCCATCGGCCAGAGTGCCGGTCTGACGCAGAAGCGTGATGAGATCCGTCTGATTCATCGACTGCTTGTTCTCGTCCGGCTCGAGAGCCTGGTTGGCACGATTCCAACGGAGATAGAGCCAGTTGCCCTGCTGATCGATCCACTTCCGCTCGCGCGCCTCCGACAGCAGCTCTGCTGGGGGGGACTCCAGGGTCGAACGCAGGACCCGAAGGAGAGCCCAAATGAGCGCCACTCGGAGGCCGAGACCGTAGAGCTCGGAAGTCTCGTCGTTGACCTTCTCCTTCCAAAGAGCAGCCGTCGACGTAAGAGTCGGGACCAAGGAGGGAGGCGAGGTCTGCATCCACATCACCCACGCGGTCGACTGGCGCAGGACGGCAATCGTATCCGCTTGCTCCACGATGGTAGGCGACACATCTGCAGATCTGGGACGGCCTCCTCCTCCGCTTGTTGCCAGCCGAAACCAGCGCTGGAGCCCCAGAATGGAGCGGCCCCGGCCTTTGCCCTTGCCCTTGGGATCGGACTTCTGTCCACGACCCTTGCCGTCCTTGCCCTTCGCCGCTTTGGGATCGCGCGAGGGGGCTCCGGTATCCGGAGCTGCAGGCCTCTTGTACTGCAACGACTTCAGGATCGGTCCGAAGGCCTCCTCCATCTGCTGATCGGCCTGTTCCGAGCTGAGACCCATGATGCAGAGCAAGAAGAAGAGCCTGCCAAAGGGCGGTGCAGTGCCGAATGTGCTGAACAGGGTGAGTGCGCGATTCGTTGCAGTACAGGCAAGGACTGAACGCTGCGCCAAGCCTGGGCGCAAGCTGGCGTGCGCTCCCGTCTAGTTCAAAGGCGGCTTTGTGCAGGCTGCGGTAGTGAAGCTTCAGAGTTTGACTATGTGCGTGCCACTGCCCACAGAGTCCACAGTAGTGCGTGAGCAGTCTCATGCATGTGGACCTCAAAAGTCCTGCGGCACCACCTTTTTCCAGTTGTCTCACAACCTCGGCAGCCAGCGGAGCCGAGGCGTCCTCAGCAACTGGTATCGGCGGGAGATCGGGCTCGGGATTACGTGCAGGTGCATGGACAGGGGAGATGACAGCAGCAGCAGTCTGGTCGGTCAAAAGTGGGGCTGGTGCCTCAGAGCATGCGGTTGGCTCCCGGTTCGAACAAACCTCGGCTGGTACAGGCGCTGGCTGCGGAGGGTCCGCTATCTCAGAGGGGAGAAAAGCTAGAGACTCCGGGAATTCCCCGCAACGACGGTTAGTGATGTGTGATGAAAGACCCTCCCATCGTGTAAAGGACTTTTTGCAGAAGGCGCAGGTAGGGAGACCTGCGACCGCATGCAGAGCACGATTGAAGACAACAGTGGCCGTCTGCTGTTGGTGCGACCGCGCCATATGCAGCTTCAGAGATTTGCGCGTATCAAACGAGCGGTCACAGAGGCCGCACGGGAAGGCCCTGGCCACGGGAGGATCCGTCGGTATGGCAGCGAACGGTGCGACCAGAGCAGAGCCCGCAAGGGGCTCGCTTGGCTCAGGCGCATCCAGGGTGGACTCGGACGGTCCGAACGGGGAAGTGCGGTGAGAGGCAGCAGGGTTGCAGGCAGTGATAGATCCTGGGACTCTAGAGCCAGGTGTGCAGAGGCAGAAGGGGGCGGCCTAGTAGGAGTGGAAGTCAAAGGTGGTGGATCCCAGCAAGAACCCAGATAGAGGATCCAAGGGTGGTGTGATCCGAACACAAAGTTGTCCCCTGGGATTTGCCTACCTAGCATACGATCATGCAAGCGCCGAAGGGCTTCGCGGGGCATGGGCACACCAAGACGGAGGCAGAGGGCGGCGTCCGACTCATGGTGTATGTGTGCAGGGCTGTTCGAGAGGGCCCGAAGCTGCTTGAGGGCTAGTGTTTGAAGGGAGGCGAGGTGAGCGGTCGTAAGACCGCAGGCCCCCAGGCCGTAGAGAAGGCAGGGCCACACAGTGGTGCGCCAGAGGAGGACACGCTGGGTGAGAAGCAGACCCTTTCGGGCGTTGAGCACCTTGCGCAGCTGAACTTGTGCAGTCCGGCCCTGGGCCATACGCTTGTCCAAGGTCTGCGCAGAAAAGCAATCGTACGAGATTACAGCTCCGAGGTAATCCGCGCTACGCGCGAGGGGTATGAGAACATCCTCACCAGAGGCACGGAGGCGCAGACCCTTTCCTTCGGCAGGCACGGTCAGGGGCTTCACAAAGCGTTGTCGGGTTTGCTTGACCTGTGAGCCGGTGCACGTCAAAAGGGCCTGGGCTTTCGAGGGGTGAATGATCAGCCCATGTTGACGCAGAACAGTGATCGCAGCCCCCAAGCGCTGGCACTCCAGATCAAATTCCGCAACCGAGTGGAATAGCGAAGCGAGGTGTAGATCGTCTGCAAACATGGTTAAGTGTTCAGACACCCACGACGATCCTAATCGAAGGTCGATACGACGGGCAAGGAGAACGGTACAGGCAGCGAATAACAAGGGCGATGCAGGGCAGCCCTGCTTTACGCCGCGCCTGGCCACTATATTGGCGCGGAGACCCGAAAGGTGGAGATCATATGAGCAAGAGCTAAGCCATGAAAGGAGGAGGGAGGCGGGCCCCGCCTCAACCCCAGCTTCAAGGAGGGCTTCGCGGACCAGAGAGTGGGGTACCATATCAAATGCGGACGCAAGGTCCAAGCAGATCTGGACGCCGCCTTGAAAGGCGGGGATCTTGAGACCCGCGAACCGTTGGTGAGGGTTGCGTGCATGGGATGTTCGCAGGCGACGACCTTCGGCGCAGTGACTGAAGACGCGGCGAAGCGCGTCTTCAGTCGACCTGCCGGCTATGTAGGAGAATTGAGGAGCGCTCCGTACAAAGGTTTCCAAGTCAAATTTGATTTTCCGCGTGACCATCGCTATGCATGCTTTACCTAATGAGTCCAGCAGTCCGATGGGTCGAAAATGTTTGGGTTCAGACCCATTTTTGCCAGCCTTAAGCAGGAGGGCTAGGGTGGCTGTTGTCCACAAGTGAGGCACTGACTTGTTTCCCGAGCCCCAACGATCGGAAAGTTGCTGTGCTATGACAGGCGATACAAGATCGGAGCATAAGCGCCACACCGCACCCGGTGAGGTTGATGGGGCTCCGGCTTTCTGTGCCGGCAGTCGATCCAGATGCCACTGGACCTCAGCAACCGTCACAAGGACGGGATCATCGCATTCCAGGGTGGCTGAAAGGTCGGGGGGTTCCGAGTGCGATGCGAACTGTTGTTCAAAGTGTTGCTGCATGATTTCCAGTTCCCGCTCAGGCGTTAACGGAACCCCACCCTGGCAAAGCTGAAAGCGCTTCCGTGAGCCCTGGGGCGCAAGCAGGCGGACCACCTTATAGAATTCCCGAAGGTTACCGCTGGACGCAGCAGCCCTGGCGGTGTCGAAGAGACGATCGCGTTTCTGCTTTCGGAATTCAGCCCCACGGTGCCTAGAGGCTGCACGCATGCGATTGTAAGCTGATTTATGGTGCCAAGCCCGAAACATGGCAGACAGGGGGGCTGACGAGCCCAGTGCCCGAAGCTTGCGGAAAGCCCGAAAGTGGGCCCACATGCGAACCGCATACCCCTGCAATTGATTGTCTTGACACGGCCGGTCGACCTCAGTAGGCCTCCGAGCAGGAAAGACCTGTACCGCGAGGGCGTGTACCTGATCTTGCAAGGTGTCCAAGGTAAGGGAGGGGTCCTGTAGGATACCCTGCACTGCACATCGAAAGGACGAGATCCTGTCATCTGGTGTGCCGTTCAATGCATCGGCAATGGCATGACGGTCAATTTGAGGAGGTGGCGGCTGGCCCCGAGGGCGCCGCCAGGGTTGCCAATCAATAGGGACCTGCGTGCATACCGGAAAGTGGCGAGCGCCCTCCCGAATGCCCACTAGGGGAAAGGAGTAGTGCACCCTAGCCTGCTTAGTGGTACCCGTGGCGTGGGCACGCCGTAGGAACAGGTAATCCAGCTGAGATTTTTGGGAACCCCAGACATACGTGTGGCGATGATTAGGCTTAGGGAGAGAAGTAAAGGTGTTCAAGGCAACCAGGTCATTACCCTCAATGAACGACTGAAATTCCCCCGAGTCCTCAGACCAGTGTTTGTGCGGCAT